CGCGGGCCGGCCCCTCGCGGGGATCGCCTGGGGGATACGGCGGGGAGTGTAAATAAAACCCTGCCTCTCGCCTTGCTTTCTGCTGCTGCCTCGAAGTGCTTTTGCTCCGTGTTTTCCTGGCAGAAGCGTGTAACCCAGGTGAAGGCAGAGAAGGGAGGGTTGTTTTTATGAATGGGACTCTTTGAGGTTAATTAGCTATGCAAATTCAAGCAGTTCATGGATGATTTTTTTTTTTTTTTTTTTTTTTTTAAAACCTAAAAGCCATCTTGTATTCCCCTCTAGGCTGATTGGAGTCCAGATCCCGAGGAAATCTCCAGATCAAATGCCCAGTAAATAAAACACTGAGCTAAGACTTGTGGAAGAGCTGCAGAATGGATGGATTTTATGACCAGCAAGTGCCTTACATGGTCACCAATGTGAGTGATCAGTTCAAAGTTGGTGTTTATAAACTTGACTCCGACTTATTTCTGTGGGGGAGTTTTGCAGCCAGAGTATCTGCTTTGTTACCGCTGTAGGGGCGACTCTTCATCTGGGAGCTTTGCCTGCAAGATGAGCCTGTTTTCTTAGTTATTTCAATAAAGCATCATGTTCTTTTAAAGACAGTTTTGGGATGATTAAAAATCATGGACATGATTAGCGGATGAGAGAGGCAAGAGCAGCAACAGCTGCATTCAAAGTTTCTGGCTGCGTTTGCCTGCAACGCTCAGAAGAATGAAGTTGAGGCAAACGTTAACGTTTTTTTTTCCTTTTTTTCTTTGCTTTCAGGACTTCGCAAACAATGTTATAAGTAACACAGGGAAACAAAGCAGTCTATTATAATCTCATATCTGGGTTCTCCTGCGTAGCTTATGCAGAGGGGATTTATGTGCTATTGTGTAGGTTTGTGTACTTTAGATGCTAAAAATACATGGTTGGTATTGTGTTGCTGCTTGAACACATTATATATGTATCTGTACAAATAGATGTCTACATAGATAGATAGAAATGCATTGCATTTAGACACAGCAATCTTTTGGAGGATGTTAGGTGCTCAGCAATATCTTTTGCGAGAAATTGGAGGCTGCAAGACGATCATTTCCCTGTTCGAAAATGTAAAGTATTCATGCTGGCTTTGAGTATTCTTGATTAAATGAAAAAAAAACCCAACAAACCCCTCAGATTTCTAAAGTAACTGATCTTTCCTGTTTATAGAATCCGCGTGGGAGAAACTGTAATGAGAGACCGACAAATGTCAGGAAAAGAAAATTCATTAACAGAGACCTGGCTCATGATTCAGAAGGTGAGGGCTTGCTCCCCCCCCCTTCCTCCCACTTACTAATGCAGAGAAGCTTTTTGAGAGCTATTTATTTATTTATTTTGGAGATAAATATATCTAGATCAATCTGAATAAACAAGACAAGAAAATTGCATTTACTACTGCAAAACAAACGGGCAAAGGCAATAAACTGATAAAGTTGATATTCTTTCCTTGACTTACCCTGTTGCATTTTAGGTACTGCTGCACATGTGGCACATGGATGTCGTGCACTGAGGCCAAGCCTTTGCAGCATCTGACACGAGTCATAGCACCTGGCTTTTTCCACCTTCAGGCCTCTTGAGGTTCAGGGCTTTCCTTTATCTTTTAACATCCTTTTCACTGGTGTGTGTTCACTGGTGGTAGCAGGAGAGAGAATGCCGGTGTGGAGACTGTTGGTTTTTACTCCAGTTTTACTGTAGAGCTAGTAGTCAGGCTCCTGGTGTCTGGTAGCCTGTTTCTATTGCTGTGTAACACCAGTACGGTTAAAAATCCGGGGAAATTTGGTTAAGGAAGTCTAGAGTGGACGAAGTTTTGGAGGGCCAAAGATTTGTAACTTAGTCTCATCAGTAGCCACTCACATGATTGTAGCTGGAGAACTGTATTCTAGCAATAGCTGTTAACACTTACTTAGGTTACAGGGTCAGTATAGATGCTACGCCTACACCTCTATAAGTACGTATGACGTATAGGAAGGTATATAGGGACCTACAGCTTACCCCTATATAAACCTTATCAGGGTGAGGACACATTGATACACTTTTCAAAATCCCTACTTACTTGTTGGAAAAGTTTCTTCTAGGGTAGATTGAAAAGAAAACAACTTTCTGATTTTCAGTTAAATGATTTCCCAACATGAACACGAAGTATCAGTCCACAGGATAAATGAATAGCTTCTGTCATTTAAGTGTTTGTAAATAGTTATCTGTCAGCATTCATAAAAGAGGAAGTCTCTCTCAAAATACAGTAAATTAAAATAAACCATTTGTCAGTTCAAATATCCTACTTAGTCTTAGTAAACAGAATTTTCATAACTGAGTTTCTGAGCTTTGCAAGTAAGCCGAACGCTGCTCTGGTTTACACCCATTATAAGCAATTGATTTCAGTGAATTGCAAAAAAAGATAAGCTGCTGCAAAACTCAGTCCATGGAGAAAGTGGTTTCACTTTAAAGAAGTACAGTGAGTACAGCATAGAGGAAATAGTGGTGATTCTCTTGTCATACAAAGTAAAACATAAGGGGAAGTACAAAAGATTTCCCATTTCTATTTGCTGTTGCAGCATCTCAGATCTTTGCTTCAAAATTTTTATATGATAGTTACGACCCCACTAATAAAAATACTCGGTCATTGCTCAGGCAGAACTCCCGTTGAAGTCCGAGAGAGCTTTATCTGGGGCAGATATTGCAGGAGGAGGCCTGAATTGTATAAGGAGAAATAGTTCACCTGTAAGAAAGATTATAATTTTTAACTTTTCTATGTATTGCTGAATGAACCTTTTATATTATAGAGCTTGGTTAAGATTCTGGTTATTATTTCAAGAGTTGATAAAATAATACAGTAAGTACTTCTTTTTTAATAATAGATGTAGAAAAATCATTAACTGCAACTCGAAAATACCTACTTTGTATGTTTGACTGCCAAAATAGGATTCACATACATTGTTCTTCAGGAAAAATATATTTTCAAACATATTTTAATCTTATGAAGAGATTAAAGGTGTGAGTTTTTTATCCATGTCTTCATCTTTTTGCAGAACTCTTTCAAGATCTGAGCCAATTACAGGAGACATGGCTTGCAGAAGGTAAGGGAAAAAACTGCTTGTAAAAAGAGGAAAAACAACTCTGGAGGGGGAAGAAAAAAAAAAAAGTCCTGAACTTGCTGTCTTAATGTTCAGCCCAATTAATTGAGCTCTAAAAGAGCCACCTCATGTGTCATGCATACATTAGAGCCTCTGATGAGTTTGTCTTTGGGGACTCTGGGGCTGCTCTACCCAGTGTCATCACAAATTACCAGGAGAAATTGCTTCCAGCTCACAATCACATCTGCTTTTGGCAAGAACTAATGCACCAAGACTTCAAGTTCTAAGCCTCTGTTCAGATTTTAATTGCAATTGATCAGGTTTATATTATTGTACCTCGAGAGACTACATACAGCCAGAACTGGGCTTGCTGTTTCCTTTAGAGCAGCACATGTAATTATTTGGTGTTCTGGTGGAGTACTTTTCTGATGGCAGAAATTAGTTTCTCTGGGTTCATCGGGACGGGATGCTTCAAGATTTAAGTGCAAGTGTCTTCTTTCCACCTTGTTCACAACACAGAACATTAGGTGTGTATGGAATACTTAAAAAGTACTATTTCTTTTTTTTTTTTTTTTTTTTTCCAGAAGCCTTTAAATATTTTGCATGTTATTTTTGTCTTCGTATTTGTAGTTGTGGGATTGTGTACTGGGTGATTAGAAAACTGGCATCGGTCTGTTTTACACCTGCTTGTGCTTTTAAGTATTTCAAATAATCTTGCAGAGCACATGCTACTGAAGAGAGAATGTTTAAGAACAATAATGTAGAAATCTGAATTTAGAGTAGCTGTTGAGAGATTCATTTAACAATAACAAAAAGTGAGCTGCTGCATTAAGAGAACTTTAACAAAATGCAAGGTAGCTTTCTGCTTGTTGAAGTGTATTTGTTCTCTTCAGCAATATTTTCTGATTTTTTTTTCTTTGATATGTACAATATTGTTTTCAAGAATAAAGATTTTTATGCATTGTCTGTTCTTAATATTTCTGGTTGAAATTTTTATGTAAACTTCTGCATCTGAGATAAATCTGATTTTGATGCAAGTTAACATAATCTCCAAATTTATCCTGATTTAAATGAATGTGATTATTCACATATGTTGAATTTTTATCATGCACAGTTGTTTATAGAATAGATGTTATGCTTTTTTGGGAAAGGATGAATGTTGGGGTGAACTGCTTGCTGCTGGTTTTCATAGAAGGAGGAAAATATTGCTGATGACTACTTGCCTACATACTGATTTTGTTTTAACAGCTTTATATATAGTTAGTCAAGTTCTTAACCTATAAGTAAGTTGTGGGGTATTGTTTATTTTGCTGACATTTTTATTGTCCTAGCATTATTTTTAGCATGTGGTTATTCTGTATATAATCAAAAAGTCCTCTTTAAATTAATGGATCAGAGGATATATTTTTGTGAATTAATATGGTTCTTTCCTAATCATTGAAAACAGAATGTCCTGTACTAAGATCATTTTTTGTAGTATAATGATCAGATACAACTGTAACTGTCTCCCTGTGGTAATTTTCCTAAGGATCTCTTTATTTTGTATCATCTCATTCATTCTAACAAGCCAGAAGTATGTTAAAATACTACTCAAAAGATACTATTTTTTGATGGAAAGGAGAACTTTTAGTTTGATTTTTCACTGGCATGGATGGTTTTGTTTCTAAACTGATTAATATTCTTTGATTATAAGTCAGAAAAATACAGGCAGATTCATAATGCATGTGCAGATAATAATGTAAGTTTGAAAAATAATATGGAATGTAAAACTGGTTTAATCATTTCTGTAGGTACATAAATTACTGTAATGGCAATTTTTATTCTGGAGGCACTGCTTATTTTAGACTAGAATGAATTGTTTGAAAGCCTTTTCTTCTCTTTAGCTGAGTCTATTTCACTTAATAAATTTAGATAGGTTTTGAGAGAGAAAGGTGTCTAGTCCTGTGTCAGCTAGGTTGAGGAGCCTTTGTAAAAGCAGATAGCATCATCTGGTAAGTATTTTTAAATAAAAAAAAAAGTTGCCTTTTCGTTAGCAGAGGATAGTAAAGCTAAAGAATGTTATATTTTTCCACAGCATATTACAAATAAATATTACGGATTTTTCAGTGTTCTAGAAATATGTTAAGAAAACTGTGTGTTTCAGGCCACGCCATGGTTTTAGCTGTTCCATAAAACACAAACTTTGCACAGCTTTTCTAAAGGCTAAACTAAAACGGAAATAAAAAGTCAAGATGAGAAAATCAAATATTGAGCTATTAACTTGATCCCAAATTTTTATTAAAAAAACCCACCCAAAACATCTTTTGGTAGTCTTTATAATCTACTAGTGTTTGAGGATATTGTAGATGTGCTCAAATGTCTACATGATTGAGCTTAGCCAGGAAACAGATTTTGAAATCAGACTTGTTTACCCATTGCTAGATGTGTCCATTTATGTTCTTCTGGACCTTCATAGGCTAGAAGTCTGCCAATTTGGCAGCATCAGTAATGTTTACATATTTCTTTTCATAATGCTCTGGAGCCAGGGAAATGACCATGAAATTTTAAAACATCTTGACCCTTTTTAAGAAAAGCAGTGGCAGCTGACCAGGTTTCTCCCACGAGTTCAGATCCCCACTGGGGAGTAACCAGGTCAAAAATCTACTTACTAGTTAGGAGAAGAAAGTGAGTTGCATTTTATGACACACAAAAAATGCTTGTGGATTTTTTTGTTTTGCTTTTCCTGAAGCTATCCTTACTACATCACGTATTTTAGCCTGGAGATTTTTACAGTTAGTGTCACCTGTGACAAGTTGGTGGTAAACAAGTAAACGTAAAAGAAATGTATTCTTTTCCGATTGAAAATGGTGGGAGGTTCACATGTATTAAAGAATTAATCCAAAATGTAAACAATTCAGTAACCTCTTTAATATTTTATTACTCCATAATTAACAAGTTGAATACTACTTACAGAAAACTTACAAATGTATTCCACTAGCTGCATACTAGATTTTTATGGAAATGAGTTTTGCTTCTTACTCTGTGTAGTATTAAATATGTAGGAAAGAGTCTAAATTATTTAGATGTAAAACTTACTCTGAACACAGTTCCCTCATGTCCATTGTTATGCAGGACAGAAGGTAGATTATAACTGTTTCCTGATGCCAGAAATTGAAAGTGGGAAGCCTTTAATAATTGTTTCAACCTTCAAACTTGAAAGGAAATAGTTAAAATTGCCTATTGCTAACCAAGGCAAATATTATTCAGATATTATCTTTTGTTTTATATTTAAATAACTTGATGGCAACATTTTGTCATGATAATATTATAAAATGACTTTATTGATTCTGTATATTTGGAATCAGATTGGTTTTGGCAGATAGCAATTGTTCGGTGACTTGAAAAAAATGGTTCAAATATTAATCTAATGTCATCTCATCATGGTAGCTGTTACTTCTTATTCTGGAATAAAAAGAAGAGAGAGAACAAATTCTTAGTGAGTGAAAGTCTCCTTTCCATTGTGAAAGCATTTGGTTTAAGCATTTAGATTAACAAAAACCCCAGATTTTTATTTAAAATTACTCTTTCAGATACTAGTTTCTCCTAGAGCTTGTTAAAGATACGTAAAAGGCATCCCAAGCAAAGACAAATAATGAATTTACGCACTAGATCTGCTTCTTAGAGCAATAGATAATACGCTTCTCAGATGGTAATAAACTGAAAAATGTAATGTTTTTTGGGTCACCTGAAAAAATACAAAAAGATTAAGTGAACAGTAAGTGGTTTGAGATAATAGCTACAGGTAACGGGTTCATGCCTCTACTGCAGCTTAGCTAAATTGAGTGGATGGCTACTACAGGCTACCAGGATTTGAAAGCCAGTTCTTGGTATCTGAAAGTAAGTTATTTCTCTCAAATAATTAATAACCAAATTTGGAATGAACTTCAGGAAATAAGTTTCTGCCCTCTGTTCTCCTATCATGAAGGATGCACAAGCGTCACGGTGATGTCTAAGCTAATGTTGACTTCTAGTTTATTTCTTAAATGAGGAGGTATGAAAATGAGTAGTTTCTAGTTCTCAAAGGATTATTTTTAATTAAAGAAAGTAGTAGATCTTCAAATATTAGTCTAGTTAAAGTGACTTCATTTAGATCGGTGAAAATGTGCAGCAGCTTATTTTGGCTAACTAGCTTTCTTCTGCCAAAAAGCTGTAGAATTTATCCAGTGTAAGGCAAATGCTGTGTAGCCATATTCAAGAACTATCCACATCTTTATAGGAGCAAAAATAATCAAGAAATGCTAATTTAATACCTCTGTGGCTGAATCTGTCTGATGGGGACAGCCACTCTAAAAAGCAGTGAAAAAACTTTCATTTGGGTTGTTTTTTTTTTTTTTTTTTGTATTCTAGTGAGCTGACAGATTTGGCTTTCAAATACTCGTAACTTTTGATCTTAAGTGCACAAAAAAAGGAGAAAAGTTAGATTAGGCAAAATGGGGGGGAGAGAGGGGATTCTCTTTTAAAAAGAAATCCAAAAGAAATAAACCCACCAGAAATCTACAAGTCTGAAAGTCTGTGTAGTAATAAACTTTTTAACGTTTTTCTTGTTTGCTGGAAAAGTAGATGCCTTTTACTCAAAATGTTAATTTTCAAAGGCGTAGTGGAGTTTGTGAACCATGAGGGATGTAGCGAAATGTTAAATGTGAGTGTTCCTTTTAAGCTAACTTTTTTCTCATTTTTAGTATAGCAGCAAATGAAGAGCAGATTCTACAAACCCATCTTCATATTCCTAGGGATTATTCACATAAGGAAGAATTTTGAGGACTGGAGCTAGTTTTGAACTGCATTTAAGTTTATTAGTCAGAGCATCTCACTTTATGTAAAAAGGGTTTTGGGTTGTTTTGACAGCAAATCCGGTGCTTATGGGAAATAATATTTTTTACCATCTTGTCAGGAATACTTAAAATTTATACAATCTTTCAGATACTCAGAAGTAACAATGAATCAAAGAAAATTCAATAGACTCA